CTGTCATCGCCAGCTCGCAAGCGGCAGGTTCTTTACGCTGAGTGGCTTTATGCCCGGAGGAGTCTCATTGGCGATCTTCCAGGACGAAGACGACGACTTCGGGTCGTGGCACCGTCGTCTTCTCCAGAGACACGTCAGGGCGAACCGAGCTGTGGCAACGGCTGTGGCAATTCCTGTACATTCCTCCATTACAGCAGGTGTATTGGGGGTAATCTCCTTTGCAAAGGTTCAGACTTCAGACTAAGCAACGTTCTTTTCTGAAAGGCTCGAGAAGAACGTGTCCGGTCTGCGTCCGTTCGACTCATCCGTGCCGAGCGTTCATCCGTGTCCTAGACACAGAGTGGCTTGGAACATGTGGACATGAGTGGTGCCCTCTTCGACATGGCCGGCATTTAATGATGAGTACCAAGAAATTGACATAATTGAGAAGCAAAGGGTCAAATCAGCAGATATTGATGCTTGTGAAAGTCACAACTCCAGCTTCGGATCTTTCCGTACAGCATGATTGATCGTGTGCTTGGTCCCCGAGCCTGCTTCTGAGAGCCTGCGGAAGCCAGCTGGGTCACTCACCAGGTGCACGATGGCATTCCACGTGCAGTCCGACTGCCTGGGAAACGCTTGATTTCGGTAGTAGCATCAGGACGTGCAATGTACTCCCTATGATGACGTCGTCGATGGATGAAAGTGATGCGATTCTCAAAGGTGCGTAAGCACCCCAAACCCTCTGAATCATCCGTGGGTCCGTGGGCAAAGTTGGGCAACCACACTGACTGCGGTGTGGAAAGCATTTCAATGAGTCAAAAGATGTCAAAAGTAACGCATTCTACCAGCCAAATTCATTGGGCACCTGGAGCCATTGAAAGATTCCATTCTTGGTCCACTCCGTCCAGGACCCTTCAGTCCACCTTCGGGATGCCGCCACCCACCGTGCATTGGCCAGCTACACGGCAGACCGCTGCCGGAGCGGAGAGGCGGTCGGACGATGGGGATGTGCCGTGAACTGGGGGACGATGGCTGCGAGCCTTGGGCTCGACAATCCACGAGTTTTTTGGGCATGAGACTCCCTGCCTCATACTCTGGAGTACCCTCCTGGCCCAAGAATCCAAAGCGGACACAACAGGTCTTTGATGTTTGTAGAGTTGTTGAAGCGGTTTCCTGCATTTTCGCAGGTCGGGTGGAAGAATCCCCAAACAACTCTCCTGTTAAGAGTTTGGTCCATAGATCGAAGATCCATCTAGGATGACCTGCCTAAGCTAAAACGCCTGGAAGGCATGGACATCCCTGTTCTGTTTGAAGAATATCCAGTGAATTGCTCTACTCGAGGAGCAGCGTAAGAGGTGCTGGGAGTGTGACTGATAGGAACATCAGTACGTACGCGTCAGAAGACACAAGGTTTCATTTCGGAAATGACCGCTTGATTCACAATTTGACAGAAGATACACGTAGCCTGGTTTTGCTTGATTCACAAGCTGTTCGTCAGTGGTGTTGTAGTCGCAGGCAGTGGTTCTTTGCTGCGCATCGAAGAATCAACTGACTGGCCAATGGAGCGTCCAGCAGATAGGTAAAGGCAGCTCTGGAAACAAGAACCTTGGCAGAAGGGGAATGAGTAGTGTTCTTGGCGGTCTGACAGGACGTGTTCTTATGGTTCCAGGTGACAGTTGCGGGTCCGAGCTCGGAACTGCATGGGTCATGGATGGTCATGGTAAGTCGTGCTCCATCCCATTTGTTGCTCGCACCACAACAAGCACAAGGGTGAAACACTGTTTGTTCCCCGCCTTGTTGGAGAGAACACGGTCGTTGGCTACACCTTTAGCAGAAAAGAATCTGATAGAGTAGCTAATGTATGAAGTAAGGGCTGCATCAGATCCAATTGCATGGAAAAATAACAACCGTGACCATGGCTGAGACCAGCAAGTGACTTAATAAAGCACTCGTAGACACCCATTCAAGACAGTGCAACTATTGTGACTCAGGTCTTGCTCTCAACTCGCTAAACCTGTCTTCAGCATACCGTTTCCTCCGTGCCTTACCTTAGTTTTTACCTACAAGAGCAGGTGCGCAAGTTCCAAATTCGCAATTGAGGCTGGTGAAAGTCGCCCCGCTGAGAACGCGGGCACCTCGAAATTGAAGGAACATATGATAATTACAAAATATATAGTAGATATCGAATGTCTATAGTAATTGGTTGCATGAAAGTACAAAAGAGCGACGGCTCCTCTTTTCAAGGTTCAATTAGAACCCGCTTTTGAGTGTCCGAGTTTGAGCCTCTTGCCAACCCCCAAACCTCCTGAACAGTGGGTAGAAGCTGGTGCTCTTCAATCCAAGTGCTGCTTCTGCTTTTCAGACCAACTTTGTGACTAGGTCATCCAATAATTTTCTGCATGTTGGCAGGAGCTTCTCAATCAAGGACTCAAGAAACTGAATGCACTCAGCTTTCGCCGTGGTGCCCTGGGCCGGGGTTTGCTCTGCTTAGGAGCAATTACGAGCCCCTCTACCACACGGTTCAGGCTCTGGTCGGGAACTGAGACAGGACCGGGACAAAACAGGCGCCCGGGACGTGCAGGATGGTGCAGGGACGGTCAAAGCAGCACTCTCCATGCACATATGGTGCAGAAGCATTTTTCTGGGTAGTTGATGTGTTTTTGACATGTCTTGACCAAGAGCCATGGTTGGCAGTCTGGTCTAGCTACATCTAGATTCATCGACTGTGGGGCTGGCTCAAAGAAACTGGAAAGATACCCAAGATATTAAGAGATTGAGACATTGTTGGGGGACTTCACGTTCCTTCTTCATCGCCCAGGTCAATGCTGGGCAAGTGATGTGAACAGCGTCCCAACGCAGGAGGAAAATCGGGGCGAGCCGGAGGCTGAAGAGGAGTGATTGTCAGCACAAAATAGTCAGCTCGAAGCTGGAACCTGATTTTTGTGCTCTTCATTCCATTGTAAACCCAATTTGTGAACCCCAATTGCTTGTAATCGAAGCTGGAACCTGATTTGTCTGCAGACCTGAAGAATTTGGGCCGATTCTGGAGACCGGGTTTCACAGCGAATTCGGTTCAAACCACCTCTTGGGGTTTGTGCCATCTACTCTCAATCCACTATATCTAACGTTTTGCACCAGGACCCTTTGTATGGACTCCCAAGGGAGGATTTGACCCCATGGTGTTCGCCTTGCAGCAGAAGCAAATCACTTGGAGAAGTATCGATTAATCAAACCTCCTCATGATAGCCGGTCGTAACGTCATGGGAGCTCAGTCAAATTGATATTCACAGAGGCAATCACTCGCGTGTTAGCCGCTCCAGCTTCCATTCTGGACGAAGCTGCACTCAAGGGCCAGCGTCAGACTAGATTTGGCCAAGCATCAGACGCGTGACGTGGTAGTAAAGAATCAAAGAGTTCATCAAAGATCCTATTCCATTCGGTCCGTTCCTGTTCATGTTCAACGGCTTTCTATCGCATTTGAGAGGAATCCAGCCGAGCAATCAGGTGGCTGAAACCGGCACAGACCCTCACGCACAGGCGCAGGTATTAAAGCCATTCATTGGTGGCCTTTAAGGAGGATTATGCCATGATGCAAAGTGGGGTGTCCACAGCCACCGTCAGCCACCCTGGATGTTACTCCGACAGTTGGGGCATGGTGAAGCCACATCATGCGGAAGGTCTAGCAGATCCGACGAGTACTTGTGGGGCCTTATAGAAGGTACTGTACCGCGAAAGGAATTGCACCATGCATGAAGTTCGGCAGTTATTCTGAAGATCAGCATGTTGTCTCTTTTTTCACAGACATGCAGGTGCCCATGCTGTCTCCTGGAGAACATAAAACTGGCAACACTAGGTGCCAAAATTAACACGGACGATCCTATGATACCTTATGGTTTAGATTTAGACCAATATAATTCCCGTTCGTGTGAATCTGCCAAACTGCAGGCCGACATATTCGAGAGGTTTCCCAAAAGCCCTTGACAAGATGGCGTGATGGGCCGTGCGTGGGCCACACAATCCACCGTGCATCTGTCAAGATCGACCACCACGACCGCCATACACGGCCGGCTGGCCATGGGGTCTTGTCTTGACGCGAAGTTTGCCATGTGTTGGAAGCGTCCGTGGGAGCCCGGTTCAGTAGGTTGCCCGGTGGACGAAGTGAGTTTCACGATGTTTCACAGTTCAGTTGGTTTGCGGGCACTTCGACTAGTACTGTATACAATAATATCATGTTTATATGTATTACTAACGTAACTGTATCACATTTATCGGACGTGTTGCTGCCTCTGTTGTTGCAAGAAATGTGCGGAACTGCGAATTGTGTTACTTGGCCTGTTGTTTAGCTATTCTTGAGTGCCTTCAAACATTATCATAATTTAGGAGAACCCACGCTTTCTTGTGTGAGCTGGCATCCATCTTCGCTTTCAACGCATGTCAAAGTTTAACTTACTTGCTGCGCGCAAGTGCTGTTGTGCAGAGTCATTTGTTGCAGCCCTGGATGATTCCTGCTGAGGGCAGGAACAGGGTACCATGGCCAACATATGCAAAAATGCATGTCGTTGAATGTTCTGTCACAAGTTTCATATGGGTGACATCAGAATCTGTGAGATTCTTTGCTATTTCTTGTAGTAGATCTTATCGAGCTGGTCCTTTTAAAGTCTTTCGTGTCTATGGCTATGGGCACGATTTATTTTTTTCATCAGCCTTCATGCAGGGCTTTGCATCATGTTTGTTTATGATTTTGTGGCTCTTTTGGCTGTGGGCCCTGGCCAGTAGCATTAGTTAGGACAGTTGCGAACATCCAATTTTCACCTTTGACATCTTTTCCCCAGTTCATGGACCAATGGTTATTCACCTTGCACCACCTACCCTCAACTATCCCCCAGCGGCGCATCGTCACTAGAACCAGACCAGGATCTCTCGACCCTGCCCACCTACCCTTGCACCTCACACGCCTCGGCGTATTTCTCTAGACCTGGCCGTTGCTCCAACGTCCTGAATCTTCGAGCAACCTTGTCATGGCGAGGGTCAGGGATCTCAGCGGGCTTCAGATCCATAATAGGATGGTGTGGCAAACATAGACGGTGAGAATGTGCCAAAGTCAACAAGATGGTGTGATTTTGCCTCAACAGGTTTAAACACTAGGACTAAATCTGCACGAACTCGTGGTTCCCCCGGATTCCTTTGTCCAGCAGGCTTGTGTGATCCAGGATGTGCTTTTTGCAAGCTGACCATGCAAGCAAAAACACATACACATGGGACTCGATGGGACAGCTAAAGATATTTCGAACCCCCGCAGCCGATGTGCCGGAAGAGAACCACGCGAACCATGCGTTGCGTGCATTCGGTGATCGGTCGAGGTGGTCAGGGTCGGTGGTGTGGATGGACCTGGGTGAGGGGGTACGCTGTCTCCAGCTCTGTGTCCTCCGCGAGGTGGGCTCCGTGGATTTCACGGCCTCCTACCATGGCCCGCACCAGAGGGCGGCTTATTGGCGGGAGGCGGAGAACGAGGTTTGATCGGATGGGCTTTCAGAATGTTGGGACCGGGTGGTGAGGAGGGTGAAGATGGTAATTCTGAGGTTTAAGTTTACGCTAGGGTATGTTGTGGGCAATGGGCAAGCCACTGCTGCTAATGTTCATTTGGAGATTTTGGAGCAAGATCGAATGCTCATCTTGGAAGTTGGGTGGAACTATGGTCCCTTGGATGGATGTCTCATTCACTGGGGGGCCAAGAGAAATGCCAATGATTCTCCATTGGTTCACCTAGCACTCAACTTGTTCATGGTCCTGCTGCTAGCTTCCAACACCCAAGCATTGAACTGGCCACTTTAACCCTTGTGGCCACGGGGTTTGTTAAATTATATATAACATATTCCATGAATCATCCATAATCATTCAGGTGTTGCCTTGGCTAGCTGCTTTCTTGCGACCCAGAGACTCGTACGAAAGGATCTGTGCGACCTGAAAGAGACCTGCGCGTGTGAGACACCGGCTTCCCTTGAAACGGCGTCATACATGTACGACATGCAGAGAGAGAGAGAGAGAACGCCACCTTCAAATACTTGCAGTCACATAGATTTGTTGTGCACTTCTTGTCTCCAAGACGTCACTTTTCAGGTCATCGTGCACTTCAGTCATCGTGCGCTTCGACCGGCGATCGGCGTTCCGAGTCCTCGTCCCGTGTGGTCCGTGTCTTCCTCCCGGATCGTCAGTCTGCAGGTGATCAATCGAGAAACATGGGTCCGGATCCCTGAGAAACATCGAGGGATTCCTTTGCTAGTAATTACAAGTGCATCGCTAGTAGTAACAAGTGCCTACTGGTAGTAACAAGAAGCTATAGTAATTACAATTCTAAGTATTTTTGTTACTACTAGTAAGGCACTTGTTACTAGAAGCGATGCACTTGTTACTAGTAGCTTTAAAAAGACTCGAGAAACATGGGTCCGGATCCCTGAGAAACATCGAGGGATGAAACAACTCGTCGGTTTCGTTTGGCCAAAACAGCCATCGCGCCGAGTATTTTGGAAAAGGACAAGGCCTCTTTATTTGGGTGCATACGATGTGAACATGCCATTTAGGCCACCTTTTGGGGATGACCTAAGTTTCATGGTAGCCCATGGGTGTGTTTTCGATGGTCCATACCCGGGGTTCTCCGGAGTCCAGAGAGTTCCACTGATACTAATACTAATACTACTATACCCATGGGCGTTTGGGTATTTTTGGAAGCTTTCCTGTGGATGAGCCATCTTCGAAGCATTTTCAGATAGTTTGGTGCCTCGTGGCCATGGTTTTTCAGGTCTTCCCCCTCAGATGGGGCACTTGGTTGGTCATATGTTCGTGGGGATTTCAGGGAAATCAAAGCAACTCTGAATACCTTCAAGGTGCCTTCTTTCAAGCTCTATGTCAATGTTGTGACATGCTGAATTTGTTCATGGGAAATTGACCATCCTTGACTTTGTACTCGTACTTTGGATTAGCCATCCAATCCATGATTTTGTATACCGTAATACCGCCGTTTCTGCAAAGATTATGGATCCTTCTTTCTGCCGGGTGTCCATGGCACCGCGCTGAACACCTCCGGCATGTCACCTCAGGAGCACGCCTTCCACCCGCTGAACGAACGTTTACCTCGGCCGAGCTACAAGGAGCACGAGCACTGCCGTGACACGAAACGGAGCGACCTGGGTCGAGTCACTCAGGGTTCAGTCGTAGGCGGGAAGCCTTCGAAGGATTGGGATGCCAGGCCTGAAGCAGGTGCATTGCTTCGGATCCGGATGGATCGGGCACTTTCGGGCCCTGATGAGGCCAAGTTCGCAAAGACATGTTTGAACCCCAACCATTTGGCTCCCTCATTTTCACAGCTCCACCATGCTCCACCCGGCTCCACCTCCCACCTCCCACCACTCACCGGGCACTCGCACTCTCTTGAGGACATGAAGAGCACGGCGCAGGACCATCAGAGCCGCCCGGTGGAGATCCTGAGGCCGGTGGAGATCCATGGTGGGTCGGTCGTCGGGCACTGGCGCCAACTCCTGTGGAGGCCTAACCGTTAGCCCGTGGCCGATTGGGACCTGGTATAAACGATTCAAGCAAACAGATGGTCAAACACCTGAGGAATGGAGACGAGGACTGGCCACCACAATGGGCCCACAAGGTCACTTGCTTTTGGGTTTTGAAATACGAGGGCATCACAAGATCATCTGACCTGCCTGACCTTATGGAATTTTGTGAAGAAAACTCCGTGAAAAAGAGAACCACATTCAACCCTCCACCTTTCGTGCCAAACCCGGGAGTGATTCGCATGTCGCCACGAACAGAAACTCCTTCCACGTTGGCCGGGATGACTTGGGTGCGGCGCCCGAGATAACACGAATCCGTGGTGCGAAAGCGGCGTGTTCTGGGGTCGTTCTTTTACGAGTGAAAGCGGCCTTTGGGACGGGTCCTGGCGCATGCAAATTGCATATGTTTCTTGTGTGTGTGTTGCCATGTTTCAATATTGCATTGCTATGTTTCTTGATTTTCAAGGTGGGTGCCAAAAGAAAAGAAACGCTGAATATTGCCTGGTTGGTTATCAACGTGGGTAGATCCTTTAGGACGAGCACGAGAAGCACAGAAGTCTGCGGGAAGTCACAACGGGAGGGTGGGTCGACTTGAGGACTTGAGGGTTTCTTCCTAAGAGTTTGATAGGTTAGTGTTACACAACCCGAGGCTTCTGTTTCATGTTCTTTCTGCGTTTAGAGCATCAGTTCAATTCATTAATTCATTACATATATGCCATATCATTTCAGCATCAGGCAGCTGATCAATGTCGAAATGTCCTTTTTAAGTTTGTCCGCCTGAAGCCATGGAACGTGATCACAGCTGACTGGCTTGTTGCAGTAGTTGCAGTCCCCAAAGGAACTGGACATGCCTTCGATTCTATCAACGTCCCCCGCACGACTGGTCGAGCACGTGCGATCGTCGAGGCATGTCCTACTTAGACGGCCGACAGCGGCCAATTGGGCGGGGATGCTTGGGGGGATGCAGCAGCCACTTGATGGTGTGTTTTGGATATGTGGGTATTCCTCTAATGAAGAGCAACGTGTTGGCCTTTTCCCACACACACACGCACACACAAAGCCCCGAAGAAAGCAAACCCTATCTCACCATTCACCGAAAGATCATTGTTCCAAACCACCATCCAGACTCATCCACCATTAAAGTCATGTCAATGTGAGTGTTTTTGCTTGGATGCCGTCCCTGAGGGGAACGCAGGTGAACATGGAGACTTGAAAGAGTGTTATTAGTGTTATTTATCTCCTGCTTCACACAGCTGGTGGCGCAACAGATTACACGATCATCGAACACAGTCTGGGACGCAAGATCAACTTCTGTCCGAACCTTTGGAACAGAAAACCAAGCAGAAACAGCGGACCAAAAAGATCCAACATTAATTAACAATTATATAACTATCAATCCTGATATATCCCGGTCTTTTGGGTATCGGCATCACTCAGCTTCAGCCGCAAAGCAACCGTTCTATATTTCGTCGTTGCTGGCTCTGTTTGGCTGTCGTTCCGGGCTCAAGTACGGCCAACTTTAGAGTTCTGGCACGGCCGCGTCTTCCTGGCGATGGCTCAATGGCATTCATGCATTCGGTGTGGGCGCCGTAGCCCCTCGCCTGGGCCTCGAACGTGTAGGCGCCCTTTCGGGCCATGCCAGAAGCTCCGTGCGGTTCAACCTGAAGTTAATGTGCCCTCTCAGGGCCCACCCTATCCGCCAGCCATTTGTGGCCAGCTGACAGTCCCTCAGGATGACGATGAAAGTGACTCCAGGGGCCTGGAAGAGGCTCCAAGCAAAGGAAGCAAGGCAAGTTGAGCTTCAAAGGTTTCTGTCCAAGCACCGATTCCCGGCATTGAGATGTTGTTTGGAAATCCCGATTCCTGCGGGCTAT